CTATGAAGCTACATTTAAGTGCAAATGAAAAACAAATAATATTAAATATATACAAAAACCAAATTCAATAAAAACCCGATTTGGTCGTGGACGAAGTTATATGTAAGGTAGCACATATTTCTGGAGTATGTCGGTCCAGTGTTTATAGGATCATTAAGGAATATAGGAGCACTCACTCACTTTCTGAGCCAAAACCGTATCCTGCAAGAAAAAGGATAACGGACGGAGTAGATGACTTTGACAGAACTGCCATCAGGAGGAAAGTGCATAATTTTTTCTTCCGAAATGAGATACCTACAGTAGATAAGATATTAAGATTAGTTAATGCTGATGAGGATCTTCCATCATTTAAAAGAACCACATTCCGAAAACTTTTGAAGGAACTTAATTTTCGATTCTTGAAACGGGGAAGAAACAGTATGTTAATAGAGAAAGAAGAAATTGTTGTTTGGAAAAGGGAATACCTTAGGAACATTCGGAAGTTTCACGATGAAAAAAGAAAAATTTACTATTTGGACGAAACGTGGGTGAATGCTGGACATACTCAAGCGAAAGTTTGGGTCGACAAATCAGTAACATCATCAAGGCAGGCTTTTCTAGACGGTCTTTCGGCTGGATTGAAAAATCCTGCAGGTAAGCTCCTTCATCTATCCGGCAATTTAATTTTGATAAATTCGGGCAAATAATATGCTGTGATAGCAGATAATGTGTGATATTCTCCAAAAATGGTGCATTCGCAGTGTAGTCATTAGGAAAAAAACTTCGACCCTCTTTTAAGCGTTATTTTGAAATTTATTATCATTTTTGGGTGCAGTCAATTTGCTTTGAATGGGTTTTGAGAAGTTGCAAACTTCAATTTTCTACGTTTTTCAGTTTTTGATCGGCATTCCGTGACTCTTAAATTCAGCTAAATGAACTCAATTGCCTCATTCCTTCAAATTTAATCAATCCATAGTGTAAGGAATAATTTATTTCCAGGAAAAGGCAAACGGCTGATCATTTGTCACGTAGGTAGTGAAGACGGCTTTGTTCCCGAAGCACTGTGGGCCTTTGAATCAAAAAAGACAGGGGACTATCATGAGGAGATGGACGGCAATCCTTTGAAAATTGGTTCTCCAAAATGTTACTAAAGCTGGAGAATAACGCTGTTATTGTACTGGATAATGCCCCGTACCATTCTAGAAAAATAGAAAAAATTCCCACAATGACAACTAAAAAAGCAAACATACAACAATGGCTGGCCTCAAAACAGATCGATTTTGATGAAACAATGGTCAAGGGTGAATTGATAAGTATAGTCAATAGACATAAATACAAATACGATTTTAAAATGATCGACGAAATGGCCAAAAAACAAAATAAAACTGTCTTGAGACTGCCACCCTACCATTGTGAGCTGAACCCTATTGAGCTGATTTGGGCCAACATAAAGCAATACGTGGCGTCGAATAATGATACTTATAAATTTTCTGATGTTAAAAATCTCTTTCACATCGCAGTCAATAGAGTTACGGCAGAGGAATGGAAAAACTGTATCCGCCACGTTCGGGAGAAGGTTGAGGTCAAAATGTGGGAATTGGACAATGTCATCGATACCCAAATTGAACCTCTAATAATTCATTTAAACGATTCAGAAGATTCAAGTTCCCCTTCTGAATGAGTGCGCGCAGCTTACTTACTAATAACTAAAAAGTGTAGTTAACTCATTTGTGAATCTCTAACTGAAATTTACTGTAAAAGATAATAATTATCTTGTATGAAATTTTTGATGACTACCTCTAATATCTTGTTGCGGTCCTGTAATGTCTCCTGCGCCTAAACACTCACTCACGAGCAATATGCGTGTATTTGTTTGGGTTTAGTTTCTTTCTTCAGCGCCTAGAGTATAGAATATTTTGGTGTTGCCTGCAGGTGTTATACAACAATTTGACAAATGTCAGAAACGAAATACCGACAGAGTCGAATGATTTACCTAGAATTTGTACCAGATCTATATCTTCTATTTGAACCTTTTTAACCAATATGCATGCGTTGTTTGTCTTAAAACATTGGTTATGGCATTTTAACAAAAATATGACAGCAGAATGTTAGGTTATGGTGAAGTTGTATACCAACATATTTAGCATATGTACAGCCTTTAACAGTTACTAAACAACAGTTGTATAAGTGCTTCCGTTGGGAGCAATTTGTTTTATAAAGTAGTAAATTTGCACAGCAAAACAACAAGCCTCGGGTTTGTTTTATAAACGTTACCATGGATGCCACAACACAACCATTTTGACTAACCTGCAAATATGCCGTTGTATAAACGTTTATGCAACAGTTAAAAATCTGTCCTATAAGGTGTTGGGTAACCATGCTATAAGAATATTTTAAACACCTCATTTTAGAGCAAATATGTTGCAGAAAACAAATTTGCATTCCACACAGCATTAAGCCAGCATTTTTGTGTTCAGGCAACAACAATAGAGAGCTTTTATGGCTGAACGGTTCTTTTACCAAAAGCTTATAGCACTACTTTGCTAGTTGGGATCCGTCGTGATTGACGGGATCTCTTCTTCCTCCCGCAAGGTTAATGCGGGTGTTCCCAAGGGATTGGCCTTGGCTCCGATACGGTCCTTCTTGCATATCGAAGACCCCCTTTCCTGTACGATCAACCCATTTCACAGCTTCGCTGATGACAGCACTCTACATGCAGGAATTCAGAGTGACAAGCCGATGTCTGCAGCTGAGCTGGAAAAAGATTAGCGACGACTTCTGCCAAAGAGCCGTTCATATCGGCAGCTGCTGGAAAAAAGCTAGACTATTTGTTTCAGGCCAAGAAGTACTTCCACATGACCTTCTCACTCCATACAAGGTCCAGAAAAGACCTAGCCTCGAGTATTGCTCACAAGTTTGGGCTGATGCCGCCCCGACTATGTTATCTATGCTCGTTGTCATCCAGAGAAGGGCTGTCCGACTGATCGATGACTCTTCTCTAACAAACAGTCTCGGGACTCTTTAACACCGGCGGCCGTCGGCGATCAGGTTCTCTTCTACCGCTACACCAACGGGCTTTGCTCCTCAGAGTTCTCTTCCATGATGCTGCCGCGCGATGTGCCTGCCATACAGACCCGTCTGCTTCGATACAAAAAAAAAAAAATGACTACAGTAAAAGCTTCCTACTTCCGTTGTATGTTGGCGGAGTTAGCGCACCATAATCACTAGTTGCGTTCGACACTTGAAAATGACTTAAGTTAAGTGTAAAATAAGCAAACTTTAATGGAATTGCCAATGTGGTCAAAAATGTTGCTGGAATCGCCAGTGGACAAGAGGAGAAAAAAGCCGCTAAAGCATACAGAAAATCGCGAAGCCTGGCAACAGTGTTTGTTGTTTTGTCCAGATGACGCGTCACTCATTCGCGACTAGGATAGTGATGGGACATTTTATTCATACTGATCGGTGCACGAAAATAACTGAATGACTCAGGACACTGCAAGTGGGAAAAGTGATTTTTCTCACGTACCAAAAGGAACTAAGGAACAGTCAAATAAGAATTCCATCTGGCACGCATGAAGCATCTGTCGAAATCAGGTTTAAGTGTTGCATGACAATGTTCTACTGATATCGATGAATTTCTGGAACATCCAAAGGTCTGAAAAATCTTTCAAAAATTTGAAAACCTTCAGAAAATTTATAAACATAGCCAACAGTCAAGCGAGTCAAAAATCTTTCGGAAGCAAGTATCGAGAACCACAGGCTCCAGGGGCGCGGGGGAAAGTGGAAAATCTCTGACATGTGAGGCAACTTGAAGTGAGATGAGATTATAACTGAGAATGTGGCCAAAATAGAAACTACTGAAATCAGCCTTGTGTGGTCTAAACTGTTAAATATTACCAAGCTATTCAATCGCGTTTTCTTTCAGTAAAGCCAGTGTTGGACTGGTGCATATCCCATATTCTTATATCAGAACCAATTTATATATTCCTGTTTTTTTTGGTGCGCATTTTGAACTAGTCTTTCATTCAGTGTAGAAACATACAGAACTTGAAGCAACTCGGGCTGGTGTTGTCTACTGTCTTCTGCTTCAATTTCCATCTTTGAATGCAGCCGTGCTATTTGCTCGTGGTTTACTATTATTTTTTTCGATGATTCATCATAGTAAGACGGAAATGGATAAAGAAACGAAAAATATGCTTCATTGATAGATTTTTGCGACACGACATGAGAGTTGTTTAATGTTGTTTTGGTAGGGTATTTTAAACACAAAAACTGCACTAATTTTATCAGAAGAAAACACTATATCTCTGAGCCACAGAAGCAAAGCGAATCTCAGGCTTTCGATTCTCCCATCACTAGTATGATGAAATGACAATTTGTCCCTCCTTGGATTACTTGAAATAGTGATGTACTTTCTAGTTCGTTTCATTAAGTTGCGTTCAGTTTTAGGAACTGATTCGTGAACAAACTACATTATCCAACAATATCACAAAAAATATGTACAGAAACAGGGCAGATATTTCAGTCGAGATAACGTAAAAACAATTCACTATATATCTTTTAACCGATACAATGCATTACGCTGATTGCAAACGTATTCTCCCATCACTAACATTGTGAGACACTAATTTCAAATGTCAATTCTTCTTTGGTCTATTCTCCTTCTCCAACGTTAATGTAGTCTACGTTTTGTGCTCACTTGTCACTTGTTGTTTTGAGCTTGTTGTGTTTTTTCTGAAAAATGGATTTTCCGTTTAAAAGGTACTCCCTCCAAGATATTTCTTGTGCAGAATTACATATTACACTGTCGTGTACAGTTAAATCTGCACTAAACGCCCAAATACGTAGTTATGTTGAGTGTACCATGTACCACCACCGATGCACATAGGGGTATTTGACCAATTAGGCTGGCCAAAAGTCAATTTTGTCAAATATCTTTTAGGTATAAATAAACAGCCTGTGTTAGTGCTCCGATAGTTGCTGCACATCATAGAAGCCCTTGCCCGCATACTCGCGATTACCGTCGCTTGGAACAACAAGTCCAAACTTGTCCGTCGTTCATAGCGTATTCGTCCCTTATATCTATCAAGTGTGATCGTTAAGTTGGTCATCGAATACTATTTACTGAGTGATTAATATTACGCAAATAATTATGGATTCTGAAAATAGAGGTAATACTGCATATTTGTTTAATCTTTTATATTATTTTTGTTGAAAGAGATTCATAAATAGCCTAGTGAAGGTATGTACTATTGTTCTTAAGTTTTATTTATTTATTTTTTGATTATCTAAGAAATTAGTTATACGTCAGGGTTCTTCCCGGTTGTATTTTTCATTGAAAGTTACTGAATAGACCTCTTGTAATACGACAATAAAGAAATCAGCTGCACTTTTCTGCTCTTTTTCGTTATATTTACATTTTCTTGGAAGTAGTCGTACTTAGCGAATAGTGCAGCATTAAAAGTACTCAGTTTTAATATAATTTTTATTTTGCTTTAGATACTCCAGGTGGCTCAAACTACAGAGTAATATCTAGAAAAAGATTATACGATAAAATGCAGGAACCGAACTTACCGAATTTAGAAGAAAAATTAAATTATTTGGAAAATGAACTTTTAACACATGGTGATTATAGTCAAGAGCAAATAAGAGAGTTGAAGCATAAATTTTCTTATATAAAAAGTAAATTTAAAAGAAGATGGTCAAAAGGTAAGAGGCAAGAAGACAAATTCTTAAAAGAGAATGCTGATTGGCTGCAAGGAACATTCCAGATACCTAAATCTTCCCATGGACGTGTTGGTCGACCATTAAAACCATTTAGTGAGTTATCTGAGGGAAGTAGAAGGAGAAAAACAGAGCAACTACGAAACACCGTCAGTAAAGAGGCTCTCGTTCATGCTGCAAAGGTGAGTTTGCAGAGTTCTGGGAATAGAGACGCATCACAAGTTCTCACTGAATTAGTTAAGTCTCCAAAACGAGGTACTAAGTACAAAAAAGCTTATACAACACATTTGCAAGTCAACGCAACACAACTTACACCTCTTCGTTCGTTATCAATGTTTGTGGAAGCGGATCTTTCCAGAAAACAGTACGAAGTAATACGAGATTCACATAAGAAATATTACCCTTGTTATACCATATTGCAAAAGGAAAAACGTAAGTGCTATCCGCAAAAAGAGTCATATCATGTAAGTGAAACATGCGCCGAAATTGAACTGCAGCACTTGCTAAACCATACAGTAACACGACTTTTGATATATTTGCAAAAGGTCTTAACTAACCTTACACAAAAAGAACGTGACACATTAGAGCTGATAACTAAATGGGGCTGCGATGGATCGCAGCAATCCCAGTTCAAGCAAAAAATGCAAAACAATGACGACACAGATTTCAATATTTTTCAAAGTTGCCTAGTTCCCCTTCAGTTAGTGTGTGGCAAAAACAAGAAAATTATTTCCAAGATACTGTCGTCCGATTAGGATCAGCTTTATAAAAGAGACTACTGATACTACAAACAATGAAATCAAATACATTCAAAATCAAATTGATGCATTAGAGAACAGCATATTTACGAGAGAAGGGATATCTGCGAGTGTAAAACATACCATGGTATTTACTATGGTAGATGGAAAGGTGTGCAACGCTGCCAAACAGACAGCGTCTACCATGAAATGTTATATCTGTGGAGCAACACCAAAGCTTTTTAACGACCTTTCCATTAAGAGAGATGTGGATAGTGACGCTTTATCATTTGGTTTGTCCATTTTGCATGCGAGAATCAGATTATTCGAAAGTATATTACACCTTTCTTACAAATTACCTGTAAAAAAATGGCAGTTAAGATCCGAAGCTGACAAGACTGTTGTTAATGAAAGAAAAGTTGAAATACAAAAAGTATTTAGGGAAGAAACAGGCTTAATAGTAGATGTACCTAAAGCAAATTTTGGTAACACCAATGACGGCAGCACCAGTCGACGATTTTTTGCCGAGCCACAAAAAGCAAGTGAAATCACTGGAGTTGATTTCAATTTAATTTACAGACTCAAAATAATTTTGGAAGTGATTTCAAGTGGCCACAAAGTCGATTTAAAAAAATTTGCTGACTATTGTTTTGAAACTGCAAAAATTTATATCTCTTTTTATTCGTGGCATCCTATGACCCCAACAATGGACAAAATTCTTTTGCATGGGGCAACAGTTATGGAGAAAGCGTTATTGCCAATCGGGATGCTATCCGAAGAGGCCGCTGAAGCCCGCAACAAATATTTTAGGATGTACCGAAATGCTTTGCACGAAAATTTTCAAGAGTAGAGTGCAATCTTGACATCTTGAATAGACTTTTGTTAAGTTCCGACCCATTAATAACCAGCCTAAGACCGACAATACCGAAATCATCAAAACCTTTTTCGAAAGAAGCTATTGAAATGTTGATTCCAACCGATATAAACACAAATATGGATAATTCAGACTCAGAAGAGCTTACAGACAAAGAAGAGAATGAATAAGACGACGAACCATGCCCCTAATCATGGTCTAGTTAATTATATTGTTTTGATTGAATAAATTAAATAAAGTGTTCCTCGCAAATAAAAAAATATCTGCACTCAATTGTTTTTTTTTTAAACTTATCAGACACAAGTTATTTATCTCAACATAAAATAACATAAGAAACCTTAAAATTTCATAATAGCGGGAAAAATAATTTTGGCCAGCCAGATCGGTGAAATACCCGTATGTGCGATGGTGCGACTGATTGTACATTGAAGTCAAAACAAAAAACTGAAACTGCAATTGAATGTATGAATGAAATCTTGAACAGTTTCGGAACAGTGGTGTCAAAATGTCGTTGAGGAATTGGAAAGGAGTGTATGAATGTGTTGAAACGCAACACCTAACAAAAATTTGAGTGAACAGGCTGTTTCATATAAGAATTTGGAAGTGCAAGCTTGCAAATGTAGAATAAACTATTAATACCCAGTAGGTGATGTAGAGTTAATATAGTCACATATGGATTACAAAAGTAGTAGTAAACATGGAGAAACCTTCAGCTAAACTGAATTTTACTGTATTTTACTCAGCCATCAAGCATTGTCACTTCATATTTTACAGTGTTTTGTTTTCAATACTTTGATGCTATCTGCTGCAAAAAAATTGACGGGGTGATCTTGAGGCTGATTGAGTATATTTGACGGACTGTTTAGTACTTGTACCCTATTGGTGCAGAATAATGGTTTGTTAAATTGAGAAATCTGCCCTAAGTGTTTATTTCCCCGACCGAATAAAGATCAGTGCTCGCTGTCTAATTCCGACAGACAAGGTGAGAAAGATCATTAAAAAAAGACTGAAGGACAGGTATCAAAAGCATTACGATTATAAAGACAAAGTAAGGGAAATAAAAAGGTCTATTAATGAGCAAACTCTAAATGATAATAATAACAGAATTGCATGTGAAAGTTGTACAACAAGTAATTTTCCTGCCCCAGTCAAATGAAAGTGCGGTGTGCAAATTATAATTTGACGGTGTACGATATTTTTTTCAAAGGAATGCCCCTGTATCTTTTTGGAATGAACTAGAGAGCAAAAAAGTGGCATCTGAAGTAAGTCCTTGTGTTTTTAGGGTTCTTCAAATTTACTACTCTAAGGGCCAATTTCACCAACATACAGTCAGTTATTCTCCACCTATAGGGTAACAGACCGTCAAATACAACGAATGAGCTTCAAGTTCCAATCAATTTTAGCAACCAATAGCCATGAAATTTTGAAGACAAAATACTGTCAAAGTATGAGATGACAGCTAGTCATTGAAACATCACCAGCTTATTGAATATTAAGAAATTACATATAATTCAGTCAAAATTTAAAGAAATGTTTGATTTTTGTTGTTGTTTGTTTTAATTACTATTGTTGAGCTTTCATTCATGTTTATATTATTTTCTTCAATTGATATGCGATTTTACTGATCCAACTGGGTGATTTGCCCTATAAACCTCTTGCAGATAGCCATTAAGCACCTACTTGATGACAGGCTCTACCAAAAGATATTGCTCTTTTCCAAACATTCATTTATTTACTTGCCGTTCATCAGAACCATTATGGCACCTTAAATTGATATTCCCACAAAAACCATTCAGGTTTTTCAGGTTTTTTGACATCCATACATCCATAAAGTTGGTTGGGTTATACATCTTGACAATAAGGATGATCGATAGGATCCTATATTTTGAAGTATCAATACATTTCACGAGTATCGTCATCATTCGATCCGGACTGTGTCAGAAAGAGTGACTGCCATTTGGCTACGACATTACCCTGCCAAATCAGATATATCTTTCATCATTTTCAAATAAATTGTACAAAATCTTCAAGTTTGTAAAGACAGCGAGTTTCACTTCATACGTTGTTACCAGACATGCCCAAATCATCAGTTGCTGCCGTGATATTCATCTCTACCACTGCATCCCCACGGCTAGGCGACCTGTATGTTAAATTTGTATTGATAGGGTAGCGGGTTATGCTATAAATCATATGTCACAGTTTTTGTGCACTGATTGCAACGGTTAGATGATATCAAAGATATTTTCATAAATAGGAGATCTTTCCCATTCTGGATCGAACAATCCACCAAAGATGCTTATAATCATGATACCTAGTAAATTTATATGAAAAATCCTCTGTATGTAGGTATATAAGAGCTTTCTTATATTTGTTCATCAATTTGATGGTACAACACATCTGCTAAAAATGATCATAATCAGGATAGTAAACTATGACTAAGGTCCACTGTGTGTAAGAATTTTCAGATACTTCATTTGCAATTTGGCAACAGACCATGACGGTGTTCACATTTTTCAAATATTCTTCAAGAAGTGTTATCAGTCTAGCTCCAACTATCATAAGTACTATGTTTGTATTCCTACTTTAAATTCAAAACCAGCAAATGTAAAAGATTCATGTCGCACCCTTCATCGCGGGACGTGATCGTCGTTAGACTTGGCAACCCTGCGAGCGACAGATAGATAACCCCACTAGTGAAAAAAGCATTAAAACAATAAACATTAATAGTTTTTATGATTTTTGGACATTATTTGTGAGACATTTTTCATAATTTTTTGTCTATGTTCATAGTACTTGCATGCATCACGGAGATGCAGGGATTGACACGTCTTACACATATTATCTGTGTTTTGGGATGGAGAGGACAATGGTTTTATTGCTTTGAAGTAATTCATTAACCCGTGAATTAATAAATGATCACTATTATGATATAAAGGAAGATGAGGAATTGGATGGAATGTATTTTATATTCTATTTTCTTGCAAAATACAGACAAATCCTCACTATTCAACAGGTATGTAATGATAACAGTATGTTGAACTTAAATTCGAGATTGCCATGCATTAACAAACGTCCAAATCTGCTGCCAAATTTAACAGCTAGAAAATCGACCTATTATTTGCCGCATTCCCATTGGCTTTTGGGGATAACCGATTGTTAAATGTAAATTTATAACGCAAATCAAAACACATGAAAGTTTTCTCTGTACAAAAGCATCATTTTTGAATCAAGAAGTGGTCTTGTTTATTAAATATTTTAATAGAAATCACTGATATTCTGAGACCTTTGACAGCTTCTGTCAAATTGCATTTCGATAAGGTATGTTCCCATTGGTCCATAATATTGATGTTGGTGAAATCGGCCCTTAAGGTTATAGATCGGTTGCCCTATTATAAACTTCGTATATAGAAGATATCTATCTCATTATGCTATTTTGAGTCATTTCATGGTCAGAATGAAGGAGATTCTGCGACAATGCCGTTTCTACAGCATTGTCCAAAGTAGGTGAAATTTTTATACCTGCCCAACTGCCTCCAGTTATTCGCCTGGCAAGACGTAATCAGCCGTACTTTTTGCACTAACTTCAGCACAACGACTTCAAGATTTTAAAAAAAAATTCCAGGAGTTGAGAATCTTGTCTATAAGAACCTTAGATACATGGGAGCCTATGAAATTGCTCGATTTTTATGGAAATGAAGTTAAAAAAACATGAGCCGCTAACAATATTTTACAAAACTAGTCACTTGCAACTCGAATACAACTTTTTTAGATTATAAAAACAAAAACTTAATTTTAAAGATATGCCCTCGAAGTTCTGAATACAGAGCCAAGAAGAATTACTACGAAAAGATATATGGATTTGAAGTCGCTGTGTGAAGGGGGTATATAGGGTTATCCAAATTAAGTGTCCACCATTAGTAACTTTGTTATTAGTGAAAATACAAAGTTGTTTGAATTAGCAAACTAGTAGCATTTTTAACGCTGGTAAAAATGAGAAATAAAAAAAAACAATTGAGAGTCGTTATTTTGATTTTTTTCAGTAAAATAACATTTTTTTAAATGGAAACCCCTGTATATTATATTTTTTTCTGTTAAGGCATCAAATTTTAAACAAAAAAGCTTACAATAACTTTTCCCCTAGGTTACAAATTGTTGAAGTTATGGCCTCCAATCTGAAACAATTAAATTGTATCGACAAACTTTATTTTCAACATCAACTTATAATCTTACAAAATACAATAACAATTTTTTTTAAAGAAGATGCTCGAAAACACCACCTTGTTCTTCAATACATTTTTGGGCACGTTTTTCAACTGCTCGAACTGTCTTAAGTATGGTCCTACCATCTATCTGGGTTATCTTTTCCCTAACTGCAGTCTTTAACGCGTCAAGGTTATCGTACCTTCGCTTGTAAATTTGGTTCTTTAAGTAACCCCACAAGAAGTAATCAAGTGGGTTTAGATCTGGTGATCTGGGAGGCCACTGTATTGGGCCATTTGTTCCTATCCACTGATCATTAAAAGTAGTACTTAGAAAATGATAAGTACCTCTGGAGTTGTGGGCAGGTGCGCCATCTTGCTGAAAATGCAGATGATGTCTACTTATAAGATCCAATTCGTCTAAGAAATTAGTCAGAATTTCTGACATAAATTCCACATATCTTTCACCAGTTAGGGTTCCCTCATAAAAGAACGGGCCAACAATTTTTGAACCAATTATACCGCACCAAACGTTGAAACTGAAACGGACTTGTGGGCCTCTTGGATGTACTAACAAAAGATTTTCTCTTGACCAATAATGGTGGTTTTTTCTATTAAACATTCCAGAATTTGAAAAATTTGATTCATCTGTCCATAAAAGGTAACGAAAGTTATTTACATTTTGGCGACAGAAGCTAAGATACCAATGCCAAAAAACAAGTCTTCTCTCTGGATCCCCTGCCAAAAGCGTTTGAACTGGTCGGTACTTATACGGAATAAATTTGTATTTTTTTAAAATCCTTTGAACAGTACCATAACTGAAATTAGAGTCCTTGAGAATATCTGCTATTGGAATCTCACGATAAGCTTCAAAATATCCAATAACTGCAATTTCCGTGGCCTCGCTTATTATGAATTCTTTTTTTGCCCTTGTTTTAGCAAAAACATTTTCGTTGCCCCTAAATTTTCGA